GGTGGTTCAAGCTCATCAGCTGCTCCTTGGAAATCCTAAAAAAACAGGGTCGCTATGGTCAGAATTGGCTCGACAGCACTTAACAACATACATATATATATATTGTTGTTAAATGTTGTCGGGTGGGTTCCGACTCACAGCAATCAGTCCCAGGGTCCCTATGAGTCGTAACCAACTTGAAGGCACTTAGCCACAACTTTGTCTATAGCCTGAATGAACCTGATCTCAAGTGATCTTGGAAGCTAAGCAGGGCGGGGCCTGGTTAGTACTTGGAGTTCTGGTGTGGCACTGTAGGATAATGCACTGAACTGCAAGATCAGTGGTTCAAACTCACCAGCCACTCCTTGCAAAGATATGCAGATCAACCTGGAACGACTGGGGGAACAGAAGACACGTTTTTTTAAAAGGAAGAAAAAAAGATGGAAGGAATACATAGTCACTGTACCAAAAAGAAATGGTTCAACCATTTCAAGAGGTAGCATCTGATCAAGAGCCAATAATACTGAAAGAAGTCCAAGATGCACTGAAGGCATTGGCAAAGTACAAGGCACGGGGAATTGATGGGATATAACTTGAAATCTTTCAACAAACCGATACAGCACTGGAGGCACTCACTCATCAAGAAATCTGAAAGATAACTACCTGTCCACGTGACTGGAAGAGATCCATATTTGTGCTCGTTCCAAAGAGAATTCCAAAGGAATGTGGAAATCATTGGACACTATCATTAATATCCTACGTGAGTAAAATTTTGCTAAAGATAACACAAACATGTATGTAACCAAAAATTGACAGAGAACTTCCAAAGGTCCAAGCTGGATTTAGAAGAAGACATGGAATGAGGGATCTCATTGCTAATGTCAGAATGATCTTGGCTGAAAGTAGAGAATACCAGAAAGATGTTTACGTGTATTTCACTGACCATGCAGATGCTTTCGATTGTGTGGATCATGACAAGTTACAGACAACACTGTGAAGAATGAGTATTTATGAATACTTAATTGTGCTCATGAGGACCCTGTACATAGAACAAACAGCAGCTGTTCAAATAGAAAAAGGAAACACTGAATGGTTTAAATTTAGGAAAGGTGTGCACCAGGGTTGTATTCTTTCACCATATTTATTCAATCTGTATACTGAACAAATAATCTGATAAACTGTATTATATGAAGAAAAACATCAGGATTAGAAGAAGACTCATTAACAACCTGTGATATATGCAGATGAAACAACCTTGCTTGCTGAAAGTGAAGAGGACTTAAA